AATGGGTGTAAAGTAGAAGGGGGGAGGAAGCAGAAGCTTCTAAAGCTCTAAGGAGAGCAAGAGGATTCTCAGAAAGCCAGAGTAAGCAGTAGGGCAACATGCACAGCTTGATGTCCTTGACTATAGCATACAGCCTAAGCTCATTACAGCTTAAGTTGGGAATCACAAATGAGCAGTTATTTCGGAGCTCTTAAGAACATCTATCGGTTGGCTAAAGTAGTTGAGACACCCTGAAGTGAAGGAGAGAACTTGCAGGGTGATTCTGCAGTAACCAAGACACTGCATCTACACCACTATTTGCTAACAGAGTTACCTCTATACAAACTCTACCATGGGGCCTTTATCAATGAGTTTAGGGATCAATGTGTACCACAGGGGGTTAAAAAAGGCAAGCCTTTGAGACCATTAGGACTCAGACTGCTACCGCAGATGACTGATACTGCGATCAGATTTTTGGGGGAGGGGGAAGCTTTTGCATACAGAAGGGTTCCAATGACTTCAATGGGGCTCCAAACTGACCCAAGAGTCTCTACCCACACAGATCCATTTGCAGGATGAGGGCTTAAGACTACAGAGTTGGAGATTTCCTTCTTTGTTCATCTGTTTCCTGAGAGATATCCATCAATACTGTATGCACAACAGACCAGATTACATCATCCTCGGCAGTAGGGTTGTATTTTATTTTTCAGTGCCCTGAGTACCTACATCCAACCTTCTCATCAATGGAGAGGGCACTCCATGATGCCTTTTCCTTTTCTTTCAGGGCTTTCTGCTCAGCAGAGAGATCCCTTACGTATTCCAGTTGAGGCAGGGGAATGTCACGACGATCAATGTAATTTGGAAGACTGAAGTCTTCCACTTTCACAACACCTGCTTAAGAGATAAGAGAGAGTCAAATGCACATATGTACAGAAGCCAAAAGTACCAGGAGAGCATACCTGAACTTCTAAGGTTAAAAAAAAAATGCCAAGTAAGAAGTTTTAAAGGGGGGAAATGCTTCAGTCTGATTTTTTTAAACTACTATTGTTACAAGAAACACCTAAGATTACTATAATTTAAAGATTAAAAGAGTAATTCTTTATCCAATTTGTGTACTGTGTGTGTGTGTATATATATATCACAGCATCAAAGGAGAGATTTATTTATTTTTTAAATACCCATTAGTAAACATTTTCAGACTACAAAAATTGGCAAAGGGTCTCAGAGGAACTTGTAATACCTGAAACTAATGTCAACTATTTTTTCCCTCCCAAAATTTACTCTATTTAAAGTTGACAATCTTCCTTTAAATATTTAGAAAGCCCTCAAGTTATATTTTCCTACACAATTTCATGCAATTACCCTGTCTAGGTTCTATTAATCCAATATCCTTCTAGGGCTATTGTAGCTCTGTGATGCCATCTACTGGTGATGGCACAGATCATCAACTAAACTTTCTTGCTACTGGACAAGTAAAGCCTGGTCTACATTAGCAAATTAGGTCACTTTAGATGGGTCAGGGGTGTGAAAAATCCCTGAAAGGTCATCGAGTCCAGCCCCCTGCCTTCACTAGCAGGACCAAGTACTGATTTTGCCACAGACCCTTAAGTGGCTCCCTCAAGGACTGAACTCACAACCCTGGGTTTAGCAGGCCAATGCTGAGCAATCCATCCCCCAGGCCAATTTAAATCCCTGTGTAGACTGCGCTAGGTTGACAGAAGAATTCAAGTGCAGCTGTGCTGATGTAGTTTTTTTAGGGATTGTCTACACTGGCACTTTACAGTGCTGCAACTTTCTCACTCAGGGGTGTGAAAAAACACCCCCCTGAGCACAGCAAGTTTCACCACTAAAGTGCCAGGGTAGACAGTGCACCAGCCCTGGGAGCCTAGCTACGCCCCTCGTAGCCTCTCCCAGCGCTCTGCCACAACTACACAAGCCACGTTAAAGCACTGCTGCGAGAGCACTTTAACACTGCCAGTGTAGACAAGTCCTTAGTGTAGATAAACTCTAAATCAGTGTGTGTCACCATTCCTTGATTGGGTTTTTGCTGCCTTGTTTTCACAGTTACTGCTTGATATTTGCATAATATCCCATCATCTCCTAACACACTTAAGTTTGAAATGCCCAGCCTGTGCTGGGTCAATAAATAATATCCTTAAAGTACCAAATTACAAAAAAGATTCCCAAATAACGGTGTGCTGCCAACAAACCATATTTGGCGCTCATAGAAATTGCTGTTATAGCAGAGCTAGGTCTTTGTTCAGAACAATTACAGATCTCAGTGTACTTTTATCTCAAGTTTTCAGAAAAATTTAATATTGCTCAGCATATAAGAACATGGATAGAGGATAAATTGCATTTTTAATGGCCATAGTTACAAAAATTCTTTAAATGCAATTTTGTGATCCTCTTGTGAAGTGTTTCCAAACACTTTATTTAAAAAAACAAAACAAAAAAAACCAGCTTCTTCTGTTAAGAGGACTTTCCAATCTTTGCTATTTGTACCAGTGATTAGCTTGGGCTTCATAAACGCTTGTTTTTACAAAATTTAAAGCTGCTCATAATGGGTGATTTAAGAAGAGGCACATAAAAGGTTAAGTTACTTCTGCAGTCATATTTAAAATTAAACAAATTACCTACCATGTCCTCTCAAGCAGATGGAGGTGGAAATGGCACGCTTGCCAATTAGGCTAAATGCCCTAGAAGCCAACATTTCTAAGGGGAGAAAAGATAGAAAATTACCAGTTAAAAGATGTCAGATTCATAGATACAATTGGAAGAATGCTGTCCTCCATCTACTAGATTATAACAAAGCAATTGAAGACCGATGTGTTTTTTTCCAGGCTTCTTCTCCTAAGGAATCACATAATTGCCAAAACCCCCTCAACTCTTTCATGACCTTTCAACAAACCAGGGCTCATGGGCAGACAGGGTGATAAGAAGGAAAGAGATTTCAGATGCAATCTTGGAAGGGGAAGTTACAAATAATTAAGAATATTATTTCAATAGTTGTGAAATATACCCTACCCCTTTGTGCCTGGAGTCATTACGAGACCTACTAGCAACAGAAAAATTAGATTTTGATTGACAATTGAACAAGCATCAAAAAAGGCATAATGCCAATGGTCACCATGAAGATGAGTATTTAATATATTTTGCCCGTGTTACTAAAATCACTTTAAAATAATTTAAAAAATTCTTTCAGCTTTAGTAACTTTATTTTTCTCTCTACTTTTCATTCCTCAGCTTAACTAATGAAACTAGATCAGTTAGTTTCAACCTTGTTTACAGAGGTTTTTGCACTACCACTTTGCACTACCAAGATGCTGCTGTTTTGGGGGTTTCAATTCTGCAGGCAAATAACATTTTGAGGAGAATATGAGGAAGACATCTTGACAAATCAATAAGATACATTTAGAAAAATCCTAGACACCTTATTCAGTGTTTCCCAATGAATCCTAAATACTGTATAGTTAAAGGCATTGGTTCAGGCCAGATTTCTCAACTTCTTCATGAGGTGAGTCCTTATTAAAAGTTTTCATGACCCCCTTACATTTACTATAAAAGAGTAAACAAAATATTATAATATGCCTATATCATTTGTGTGTGTTACAAGAGGCTGACAGAATACGTGACCTTGAAAGGTAAGGGTGTATGGGGAAGTGGAAGGGCTAGCCTGTCTTTGAATTATTGTTATAAAATTTTCAATGCTGTCCAACACCACTCCCCCCCCCTTTGCGACTTCCCTGGGGGGGGGGGGGGTCCACAATCCACTGATTGAGAAACACTGATCTAGGACTAAATTAAAGATGGATTCTATGTCTGACTATGACTCAGACTACGACTTTAGTAGTAAGATACAACCTCTGTGTTTGTACCCTACCCAACAGAAGCATCCCAAACAAAAATTAATTCATGTTTCCAAAATGCTGGGATACTACAGTAACGGCAGCACGGAGAAGGCAATAAATTAGGACGACCTCTCCTGTCTAGCAGGAAGCTCTCTGGAGCAGGGACTGTGTGTATTTTGTGTCCTGTCCACCACAGGCCAGCATTCAATTATTAAATCCTCTCTTCCTGGTAGGGACCTCACCCCCACCTGATTAGGACTGAGTTCCCAGCTCGATCTCCCGGGCCCGGCCTCCCACACAGCTCCAGCGCCACTCGGCCTCTGCTTGCCCCCTCTGCCCGGCCCAGCGACAAGCCGATCCCGCCAGCGATGGGGAGCCCGACTGTTACCTACCCGCGGGGGGGCGGGGCGCCCTCGAGGGAAGCTGGAAGCGGAGGCCGCAGGGGCCTGTGAAGCGGGACAAGACAAGGGGGGGCGGAGGGTCATGGGGGGGGAAGGGGGCCCCACCCCCTACATGGCCCTATAACAACCCCAGGCCCCAGCGTGTCCCCTCGGCCAGACAGCGCTCC